TGCTGGGTTTTGGCATTGCGAACCGCTTCGTTATATTTGTTTCTGGACTCGACGTCGGCTTGTCTGTTCTCTACAGTGGGGTTTTGTAAGTAGGTTCTGTGGGCCTTGATCTTCTGCTGGCGAGCAGTGTCACACGATTTGTTGAACCAGCCGTTGGACCCTGGTTTAGGAACTTTCACTGTGTGAGGGATGTATTCCTCCATTCCGACGTGGATAATTTCGGTTATTGAAGAACAGACAGTCGACGCATCCGCGTCAGTGAAACAGACATCTCTCCAAGGAAAGCTAGAGAAGAAGTCTCTGAGCCCCTCCCAGTCGGCATGTCCGTAATGCCAAGTTTTGCGGCCTGTGCGAGTTTCTGCGGCCACAGCGGCTTCTGACCGAAACCTAACCTCCACAACACCGTGATCTGAGTTACCCAGGGGGGACAGGACGGCAGTGCTGTAAGGGGCAGGATGCGTGGTCAGAAAGAGATCTAGCAGGCTACTGGCGTGTGACGAGACGCGGGGGAAAAAAGTAGGGCTCGTCACCAGCTGGGTCAGCCCTTGAGTAAGAGCGAACGCTTCGACTGCACGACCTGCTGCATCGGTCTTGTTTGAGCCCAACCAAAGCTCATTATGGGCATTGAAATCACCGAGAAGAACTACCTCTGAAGCGGGGTGATTGATGTTCAGGAAGTCGATCTGGACGGCGAGGTATTCGAGTAGGTCATCCCAGTTATGGTTCGATGGAGAGCGATAAAGGCAGCAAATAAATTTGGGTGATGTTTTGGAGTTGAGGCGAAGCCACAGAATGTCCTTCCGGTCTGATTCCAAAGAAAGATCCCTGGAGCAGGAAAGACTGCTGCGGACAAAAGCCACAACTCCCCCGTTCTTTCTCAGATTGGAGTGCACCTCGTAGTTTGGGAAGTTGAGATGGTTAATCGGTGCAGCCTCTGAGATTTTTGTCTCCGCCAAGAAAAGCACGGCGGGACGATTGGATTGCAGGTAGTGATGAACAGCATCAATGTTGCTGTTGATCCCGCAGATGTTCGAAAAACAAATTTTATCTTCGATGTTGTTCCCTCGAGCCCACCCTCCACCCGGACATTCCGAGAGTGGAGTGAGTTTACGTCCGGAGTTTTTAGTGCTCGAGGGATCCATCATCATTAATTTCTTTGTTTTGGTAGATAACCGACTGCATAGCTTAGGTGTGGAAACATGCGGACATTTATAAGACACCCTGGGAAAAGCTAGCGGGTGGTACTGCCTCGGTCGACTGGTCCTTGTCTACCACCTTCTTTTTACGTATTAGTGATGTTAAATAGACCTAAAGTGGCCCGTTGGCGGACTTGTACCGCCACCCGGCAATCGGTACTGAGGTATTCCTTAACGCGTGCGCAATCACTTGGACGGGAAAAAGTTGTATACTGGATACAACGACTTCCGGAACAAGCATTTGCCACGGCCCTCGCTCAGTAGGGGACGAATTAGCCACCGATTCGCCCACTCTAAAACCTCGTCCACCGCTTCTTGCAGGCTGTCATGGACTAAGTCATTAGAACGTGACTGGGCTACTAATGCAGTGTCGTCGGCGTAGAGGTAGACTTCACAGTCGCTGGGACGAGGGACGTCGTGAATGAAAACCGAGTATAAGAGTGGTCCTAAGACGATCCCTGCGGAACTCCGGCCCGAATGCGCCGTGTTGTAGAAAATACACTGTTAAATTTTATTCTAAATGTCCTTCTGTCTAGGAAGGATTTGAGTAGATTTAATAGCCAAAAAGGGATATCGTTTTGAATAAGTTTATAGAGGGGGCCTACGTGCCACACCTTGGCGACATCGCGAGATCCAGAAAAAGGTTTCCCGTACTCTTGTCTTGGGTGAATCCGCTGCTTATACGCTCCACCAGCCCAACTGCCTGTAGCTCTGTACTATGCTCGGACCGAAAACCGAATTGAACGTCAGGAATCACTCGGAGACCTGACGAAAAATTCTCAAGGTGACCATAAATCACCTTTTCGGCGAGTTTAGAAGGAGCTTACAGCAGGCTAACGGGGTGATACTACTGCGGAAGTATTGAACATACCTTCTTTGGGATCATGATGACGTCAGCGACATTCCACGCATCTGGAAAGTATTGACATCATGTACGCTTTCCTACAAGACGCCAACATGGAACTAGCTGTCGTTCACTTCATGCTCACTTGTAGCAAGCACGGAATAACTATTTGCACACTATACTATAACTATCTAAAACTGTAATGACTCATCGATGTTCACGTGAACATCACTTAACTACCAGTAGTCGGCTGTTCATAGGCGGGGTATGAATGTTTAACATGGGTGAACTAGATTTGTCACATGCTTAATAAAGAGTGGTTTGAAACATATTGTAAATCAAAAATTTGGGAATTACCTTTATTCATCGTCGCTTCCACTTACAACTGACAGTAATAAACTGTCGCTATCGCTTTCCTCGTTGAAATTGACTATAACTGGCTCTATGATGGTGTCGATGTGGTGGTCAAGCTGCCACATTTTTGTGTCTTCCATCACAACATGACGGATAGCATTCTGCCAAGCTTCGGGCGTTACTAGCTGTATGGAAGTCTCAAGTAAAACCTTAACGTCTAGTAATTTGAAGGTTGTGTTATGGCGCGCAATATAACCCTTCACTTGAGCCCAGATGAGCTCTATTGGGTTCAGTTCACAGTGGTAGGGCGGTAACCGCAGCACAGTGACACCACATTGACGGGCCATCTCATCAGTCACGTAACTAATGTTCGCAGGTTTGTGCTGTTTAATTTTTTCATACAATTCCGCTTTCACACATGAATCGTCAAACGGGATTCCTTTTTCGCGCAACCATTGCTGCATGTCACTTTTTCGAGATCACATAGTCGGTACACGTTCGGCTCGACGACTATGGTAGGAAGCATTATCCATGACGATCACAGAGTTGGGCTCAACTCGCTGAAGCACCCCTTGAAACCAGCTCTCGAAGCAGCTGGCATTAATTTCGTCATGATAATCACCTCGTTTCTTAGAGACGAAAATCAAGTCACACTCTTCTAAAAAGCCACTATCGCTACCAATATTAGTCACGATCAGTCTTTGACCTTTCCCTGACTGTCCACGAAGACCTGTTGACAAACCTTCAATGCTTGCTTGTCGGTTACTCACTACGTTTTTGTCTATTCAGGTTTATTTAACTGTGTGACCTGCATTTACCCATGTCTCGTCCAATAATAGATTTTTCTGCTTTGTCGCCTATATTCAATCATTTCGCGTAGGTATTTTCGACGCCAGGCGACTATTTCAGGTCTCTCTATCAATACTGACTTCCGATTACCGTTTCGTAACGAAAATTAATTTCGTGCAGGGATTTCCTCATTACCTCGACGCTCATTTGGGGTATAATTTCATTTTCCTTGATCGCTGCATGTACAGCCTTGAGGGTTGGTATCTCATTCCTAAAGAAGAATGAATGTACGGTTCGCCTTAACGCCATTTTGCTATCGTCATCCAATTTAACGGCCTTTTGTCCCCTCAAATTAAACTTTGGATCAGTAATAGCTCCAGTTTTCTTCTTTTCATGCACCACCCTGCGAATGGTCCACTCTGGAACGCCTGTCATACTTTCACAACGCGCGAGTGCATCTCCCTGCGACATAGTTCTGTTCAGATAATTGAACACGTTGAGCACGATTTCTTTCGCGTCCCTCTTCAGTGCTTTACGAAGCCGTCTACTTGTTCCCTGGCTTTCAGTACTTCCACTCGTGCCATTTGTACTCTCCATGGTTAAGTATAACCAAAACAGTAACCACAGAAACCACAACAATAACAATCACACAACAATTCTTATAAAAACACACAATATGCGATCGCTCAACGAAACACGTTCCAATGCGTTGCCGACGCCTATGAGTCTGCCGGTCGAGGCGCGTCTTTGATTTCATTGGTTCTACCGGCGGAGAACAATCAGCCATTATTTCCATCTTTGTCTGTGCTGTTGACCTCCGCAAAGCCACAGAAACGACATATGTCGTACGCTATACGGCTGTACTGGAAGGAAGCCGGGATCGAGCTCTGATCACGTGTTGATCACGCGTATGAGTCATTACAGTTTTAAATAGTTGTAGTATAGTCTACTTAGTCAACAAGTTGACATTTTATCGTTTTTTACATTATTTAGGTTTTTTACAATAACCCCGCGGTAATATTCTTCCTTTGTACCAAGGTTATCGAGATTGTAGAACAACCTGCCTGAGGAAGCTCTGCGAACATTAGACTGCTGAGATTAAGTATTATCACATTCTGAAGTCCTTTAAGCCCGCAGGGAAGCTTATTATAGATTTTTATACAGGCATACTCAGGTGACTTTTCAATCATTGTTAATGCTTGTGATGTATGCTCAAATCTATGCCAGCTCTTGTGTTGTAGATTATTACTCTTGAATGCAGACCTATAAGATTAACGCCTAGGTATGTTAAAGATTATTAATCTCACTATTCTTTTTTAGATTATGAATGCCCTGTTCACAATAAGGGCTTGTCCCCAAACTATTATGGCTCCTGACAAATGAGAGTATACCATCGCATAGTAAACATTAAGCAATACTGCTTGAGTTATAGAGTGCTTTAATTTTAAGATGGCAAAATATGACTTGTTGAGAGTTTTAGATATTGAGTCAATATACATTTGCCCAGTGAGCTTGGAATCCATAATTATCCCCAAAAAAGTCCCCAAGTCAGGGCCGACGTCGTGAAGCTGTGACGTACAAGTATTAAACTGAACGGTAACAGTCTTGTCGGTATTTAAGATCAAACGATTCTGTTGGCACCAACGCTGCATTTCATTTTCCACTAGGGTGATGTTACGAACAAGTTCCTCACATGTAGTACCACTTACTACAACTGAGATATCATCAGCATAGCTTATTACGTTAAAGTGAAAGGGCATATAAGGTTTTAAAAAACAACTATACGCTTTGGCCTACACTCATATTATTTTTTGCAGGAATCATTTTGCTTATCGAGATATTGTTCCATCGACATCAAAGAAAGCTGAGAAGGGAAAGAAAGAGAAGGATGCAACCACTGAAGACCAAAATAAGTGAAATGGGTCGGTGGATGAAAGACTTTGGGACTAGTTTGATCTATGATGCCTTCATGCCACCATTCGAATACGTAGATTAAAGGAGGACGCCCAGTTTGAAATCTTTACTTTTTTATTGTTTAGCAACAAAATGGTTTAGTACGAAGCTATAGAACGTTGAACAAGTTATGCAACGTAGGTAACCCTGGCCTTCAAGTGAACCTCGGGTTGATGCCTTTTTATTATCAAAGCAGCACCTACGGTTATACACACAATCATATAGAAAAGCGGGTAAATTTAAAAAAAAAACTAAGTAGGGAATGCCTTTTTGAAAAGCTGTGTATGTAAGTGTTTAATATTTGTATATTTTTTTTCCTGTAACAAGGTTGAATTTCCCGCTCCAGTAGTAGTAAAAAAGCACTTGCAAGTTGGAATTTTATTTTTCCTAATGATACATCGTTTACGGTTTTTAGAAAGTTCAAGACTGCCAGTAGATTATACCCCATTAAAAGTTTTGCTTATACTTATTTTACTTAAACCTACCATTTAATCAATTCTCCCTGTATAATTTGGTGAACTAGCATCTGATAGCTTCAAGAAGAGTTATCAAAAAATTATATTTTTGGTTCGCGTTTTTGAGACTATGTTGCAATGTTTAGCGCGACGGAAGTAGTTGACGTCTTTAAGGCTCTTCTGACTCCAACTGGTTGCTAGAGAAAAATAGGCCTTGTAGACGGCAGATATTTGCTATTCTCTCAGAAATCATGGTATTAACATAATATGAGTTCAACCTTTATACCCAGTTCAGCGCAGGTATGTACGAGGCGGGTAGAAGTACTATGTATGATCAATAATAGTCCTAGACCGCGCAACATTTCATATGAACCAGTATCCATGTCTCAAATGCATCGCTTAACATTCGCCTCTTCGTCAATATCGTAATAGACCTGCAGCCGAAATTGTTTAAATTTAGTACATAGGCACATTGATGGACATTTAAAAAAAATGAATGTCCAGCGTTACATATGTGCACGCGTACATACAATGTATATATATATATATATATATATATATAAATCGTGCGGAGGAAGGTATATAACAAAAAATAGGAAAGTATTGGGAAAAATCGGCAAAAAGGAGAAAAGTGGATTCGAGCAGAGAATAGGATAGGCAACCCGAGCGATACGTATTTCTGCTGGTTGGCTTCATCAGGCCCGAAATGAATGCACCTTTGCAACTACAAAAGTAGCTACACATGAACACACATCCGGATACGGATGTAACCTGACGAAACGAAGATGGAGAGGAAAAAAACAAAACACGAAGTCTACAACAAGAACCAATCTACACATTGTAGTATAAAATGGCTAGAAGACCTCGAATTTTCAAGGAGACATCTAACCACAACCACGCGGCCGGTTATAGACACGTGCTGTGGTACTTCAAGCCCAAAGGACATACAAAAAGTAAATGATCGTGCGTAGAAAGGTATATAACAGTATATAGGAAAATCATGGGCACAATTCGCAAAAAGGAGGAAAGTGGATTCGAGCAGAAAATAGGATAGGTAACCCGAGCGATACGTATTTCTGCTGGTTGGCTTCATCAGGCCCGAAATGAATGCACATATCCAACTACAAAAGTAGATACACATGCCCACAATTGCTGATACGGGTGTAACCTGAAGAAACAAACCTATTACTGTAGAGAAGAGGTGTACTTAATCCAGGTCCAGCCTACCTGTTTATTGCTTCGCAATAACTACCTAACTGTTTCCTCTTATTTTGACGGCACAAGATATTTTTATGACCCTCGTGCAATTGTTACCATGTACCACATGACCCTTGTAAACATAATTGTGTTTATTGACATGAATAAACAAATTTGAATTTAAATTTATGTTAGGAAATATATCAAATTATTTGAATCCTTTTTTTCTTAGTCGAAACGCACCGTCGCGTCGCTTGGACTGGCAGGATGAAACAGTACACGAATGTCGCCCAAAAACCGATTTGCACTTCACAGCTTACGCTCCATTTTTTATTATTTCCAAATGAAACTGTTGCAGCGTGCTGAAAACAAAGTCCACAGGGTGCTAACGATTCACTAGGATCTTTTTAAAATATCAAGAAGTTGAGCACAAATAGTAAGCATTTCAACCCATCATAATTCTTGCGCAAAGCCAAATTTTTGAAAAAACCTCTGATAGCACCTTAGGCAATTATGTCCTGCTTATATCCAGCAACACATCACAAACTGCAGAACATAAATTGAAGGTAACGGCGAAATGGGTACATTTCATGGGTCATGAAATTTAAATGAAGATGCAGGTATAAAATCTACCAAATTATCATTCTCAAATCATATTTCCTTGACATATCGACAATTTTAATTCCCCTATACTTGACTGGAGTAATATCCGCATTCATGCTTCCCTACTGTCGGCAGTTGCAGATCTGGTGTCAAGCCTATAGAGCGGGTACCGATTTTTTCAAATCGTGAGCACATTATTCGTTGGATTTTCGTTACTTAAATTTCCTGTAATCACTGTGATCAGAAGCTTCTTAATAAAAGAACGTGTTTCACTGATATCAAAGATGCAACATTTAGAATCACCTTCCCCTAACCCCCAGTTTTTAAGTAGTACAATTTTTTTATGTAAATGATTAGGAACCCGTGAAACGGCAAAAACGGAGTTTCAGCAATTATCACTTTTTCTTTTTTGCCTATAGCACCGTTGCCACTGGACTAAAACTACAAAACTTTGACATACTAGTAACCCCGTGTGGAAATCTCATAAAAATCCGAGCGGTAATTTCCATGTTTTGATGATGAGTAATATAGTTTTCCGTGATGTAGATGTCATATGACTTAAAAAACATAACATCTCATTTTAGAAATTTTTCGCGATTACAATACTTCCTCGAAAATGGCGTGGGTAGTAAAATGGCTTTAAGATCGAGGAGCATCAGCGATCGCCATTATGAGTACCTATTTGCAGAACGACTTATCTACGCGATTTTATATGAAATAGGGCCACCAAATTATCTGAATTCGTCCTTTCTTAGTCCGTACATTGCGCCGCAACACTTGGGTTGGCAGCACGAAACATTAGACAAAATTCGTCCAAAATACGATTTGTAGAGGTTTGCGCGCTTCAAATCTGACGCTATCGAGCCACTTTTTCATTTTTTTCATTAGGCTCTCTTTAAAAAAATCGCGAAGTTGAACAGAAAAAGCGCGCACTGAAAAATGGAGTGTCAGTTTCGAAGCAGCTGAACCCTTGTAAATGACTTCAAACTCACTGCGTCGGAGCCGCCTTAAGGACATTTTTCTGGCGGGCTCAACCTTCTCACGTAACGGCCAATGTTTAACTGTATAATGTTGGTTTCTAGCTCCGCTGTCCCATTCACATAAAAAACAACAATATTTTGTGAAGCCACTGTGTAGTCCTGTGAGCAATGCAATATCTTTGAGATCGGCACATATATTCCACCTATGATCTTCGTTTTTTATGCTTTGGAGTAATATGCGCATGTTCTGGTATGTTTCTTCCATATTTACAGCATGACCAACGGGAACTGATGACCGTTCGTTTCCATTAAACAACTGCCTTTAGACTTGTGTTCAGAGAGTCAATAAATAGTCGCCACTCGGTAGCTACATAGGAAATGCCAGCTTCATTCAGTAAACCTGGAATATCAGTCATTTTCCATTGGGTAGTTATCATGAACTAGACCATGGAGCTCTTCCTGAAATATAAAATGTGGCTACTTGCTGCTACTACATTTGAAAACGACTTCCTCTTTAAAACTTGGACCGGCTTCTGGCTCCTCTGGTCAGAATTATCTGGTTCATCATATTTCTTTGGAGACTTAGGAACTGGTATACTGGAAGAGTCATGAGGTACAGGTCTACTGGTTGAGGAGATATTAGGATGCAATATTTTATGCTTGCTATTACTAGAAAATCCTAGAATTTTTGTTAAGCAAAAGTAATAATCATCAACATGATTCTTAAGTTCCGCCAAATCATTGGCACTCCAAATTTCATAGAAATGTGAGTACCCCGTAGCCATCCGGCTGAGGTTCTTGAGCAAGTGCGGCAGCATGTTTTGGGAGCCCAAGTTTTGTCTTGATCGGCAACTTTGAACCCGAAATATAACTCGTAGGCTTTTCTGACAAGTGGGCTCAAGGTCTTTCGCTGAGCTTTCAGTATCACTTCACCACAAATATAACAGAAACTGTTCGGATGGTTCACACAGGGTCGCAACGGCATTGCTTCGATCATATATCAACTGCTAAATACTGTAAGCAGCTGGCTGCTTATATACACATCTAGTGTTTTCTAGAAACAGCGGGAATCAAGAGATCGGAAATGGTTTTTCTATACAGGGGCCATTCAATAAGTAGCTGTCCGACGACTATAGAGTACGGTGAAATCTGGAATTATATGGGGTTCAATGGGTATCTCCTTCATTTGAAGCTGTAGGGGGTTGAGACTTCGTAGAAGAGGGACATTCCCAGATACCCATATGCGATGTTGCCAGATTGTACATACTTTCCCTAGACTGCGAGAAAACGTAGATATGTAGAGCTTATCGAAATAACGTATTTGCTTAGCGCAGAGGATTTTCGAGCAGAACAGTGTAATTTCAAGTTCTACTTAGGAAATTCTGCTTTTCTAAAATAACTAAGGTTTTAATCATTTTTGGAATCAGAATTAAAAACCCTATTCAACTGTGCAAAAATAAAATATGGCGACCATAAGAAAAAATTAAGTTGATGCTGGAGGGCAAGAGACGAACATTTTATTGAAATTCTAATTATGCCTTCTTGTAGAGGAAAAAAATCGGCATGTTAATGTGCAATTTATTTTGAAATTCCACTACAAAGAATGTCAGGGAAGAATCAAAACGATTTTGGAAATATTCGGGTTTTTCCTTATATCTCCGGAAGTACTTTGAATTTCGAAACGTACTAAGCAGCATTTTGTTGGCTACCTAAATACGCAACTTTACTCCCATTCAAGCAACTTCGGATCTCTTACAGTTTCCAAGATCCCAAATAGTGAGAGTCGAATTTGAAACTCCCTGTATATAGTATATACAAATACATATATATATAAGTATATATATATATATAACAAAAAATAGTAAAATAATGAGCATAATGCGCAAAACGGAGGAAAGTGGATTCGAGCAGAAAATCGGATACGTCACCCGACCGATACGTATTTCTGCTGGTTAGCGTCATCAGGCCTGAAATAAATGCACATATGCAACTACAAAAGTAGATACACATATCCGGATACAGGTGTAAGATGAGGAAACGAAGATGGAGAGGAAAAAAATAACGCACGAAGTCCACAACAAGAGCCAACCTACCCATTGTAGTGTAAAATGGCTAGAAGACCTCGAATTTTCAAGGAGACATCTAACCACAACCACGCGGCCGGTTATAGCCACTTGCTGAGGTACTTCAAGCCCAAAAGATCTGCAAAA